TTATCATCTCTAGTGTGAGTTTAAAATATAAGTGTGTTAGCACTGTGTTGATTATCCCTAATATGAATACATGTTTATTTATTCAATGTTTCTCTTCTTTAATACGCAATTGACGTTATGCTATTCATGGATAAAAAATCGTGATAAAATCGAAATCGTGATAAAATATTGGAAAAATCGTGATATTCTATTTTTGCCATATCGCCCAGCCCTAGGTTCAGGTTATGTTATTGACAAAAATAGACAGACATAGACTTACAAATCAGGGGTGGACATTAACTTCAAAACCAACCGGCCAGCCGGGCCGGTAACTCTGAACATTTACCGGCCCCGCCAAGAATCTACCGGCCCCGCTGGTCAGCTGCCAAAACGAGTCAAAATAACAACTGAACCGTTTTAAATGTAATAAACCTTTATTTTGTACACATTCACAAACATAATAATGTATTCAAGTTTGAATTTGTTTGTTGCCTCAACAAAACTCGATTTTGTCGTCACATACTTACGGCATACAACGCAGTACATCACCAACTCCGCTTTGCTGTACTCGAGCCATTGGCTGTGTTCGAGATGAGCCAGTTCTGCGCAGATTAGACCAGCAGTGATTGGCGAGCAGCGCATGCCGGTTAGATTTGTGTCCGACTTGACGCCGACTTGCTCTAACGTCATGCATACGTAGGCAACGATAACCTCGTGAGATCAAGGCGGCCGCAGATTTTGGAGCAAGGCGCTGCAGTTGCTCTCTACCGGCTGCAAAACCTAGGGGATGACGGGAAATGCCTGGCTCTCACCTGATCTAAGATCTGATTGGTTCATATTTTGATCCAAACATCCGGTGGTAGAACATGAAATGTTTGTTGGTCACATGTATTCTGTAAATCATGTTATGTTGATGATGACAACTATATAGGCCATAAAGAGAAATGTGTTTTGTTTTCTTTTGTCACATTTCCTATAAGCACACTGAAGCTACAGCTGCTAACCTTTACTTATTATTAGTCATGTTTTCATATAGAATATATGATATCCACAAGCACGTGAGGATGTGTTTCAGCTGCTAACAGGCACCAGAATTAAAACTGAAAATTGAACAAGTGTGAATGTTAACGTGATATCTTCAGCCATCGTCACCCCCGAGCTACACATGTAGGGAAATCTGTCCTACTTACGCCGGGGATACACAGGCCGCAGAAGCGCCGCGAAAATGGGACCGCCTTCATTCGGCGCCCTTGTTAAGCTATTCTATAGACCACATGGGCCGCTGAAGCGTCGCGAATCGCCTCGCGCCGGCGCTCCAGCCCGCGCCGTGCAGCGACCATTTCAGCTTCTGCTCTTTTTTTCGCGAGCCGCGGGTGAATCGCGTCAATTCTGGCAGGAAGTCAAACCTAGACATAAGAGGAAGGCCGGGAAATTTAACAAAATAAAGCATTTCAAAATAAAATTCCGCAGTAGTCAAATGTTTTCGTAATCAGACACTGCAGAAAAACCACACGAACACACACACACATCGAACTTGCGTGCGTGTGTGACCACGTGAAGGGGGTGTGGTTTTGGGTGTCTTTTTACCGGAGCAAACAGGGCAGAGAGGCAGAAAGTCTGAGGCAAGAAATTAAGATGGATGACTTTAAATTAATTATGGAAGTTGAGAAACACAAGGAGCTGTACGCCCCCCGAAAAACGTGGTTATTTACGTACCCATTTCGGAAGAAACTGCTAGGATACAGCTGCAGAATTGGAGCGGGTTCCAAGAGATTCAACTGGCAGAAACAACTGGTTCATACCATAGGTTCTCACACACACACACACACACACACACACACACACACACACACACACACACACACACACACAGACACACACACACACACACACACACACACGTAGAGGAAAAGAGCTGAGAAAAGGCAGAGGGGAAATGGAGGACACCAAGTAGTTAAAAGAAAAACTACAGCTGAGCCGAGGCGCGCCTCGACTGGGGAGCGTCTGATCTGAACTGAGGAGCAGCGAGCAGCGGCCGGATTTCGTGAGCGATTTGCTTCTCGGCGCTTCCGCGGCCGGTGTGTCCCCAGCATTAAACGCCGGCTTTCAGCCACTCCCCCAGCTGCTTCCGTCTGCTCTCGTCTGTGTTCCAGGCGAGGCGCTGCTCAACTCGAACACGGCCATTCTCTGCGCCTCCCGTCTTCTTTAAACCGCCAAGAATCATTCCACCTACGCACACGCTTCTCTGCTTCATACCGTTTCGAACTGTCTCGCTTCTCCTCAACAGTTTTAAAGCGTTTTGCCGGAGATTCCATCAAGAAATCCCATCCCTGTGGTGGCGCGATCTTCCTGCGTGCTTGTGTGTTTCTAGCGTGGTTCCACTTCGTCTTTAATAGTTCACGTGACTATAACTAGAATCGTGCACTACGTGCACGAATCGTACAAGTGCAGTACGTGGCTAGAGGCACGCAGGTTCACGCGCGTGAAACGAAAAAGGCGGCTTCATACAGGGCGGGGCCATGATGTAGGTGAAAGCCGGTGTGTAAATGACAAACAAGGCTTGGGTGCCACCCGGGCGGTAAGTCGTCAAGTATTTACCGCCCGACGAGAAAATTTAGCGCCATTGGCGCTCGGGCACTTTAACGGTCCACCCCTGCAAATGTATACAAAAATAGAAAACACAGTTTGAAGATTAAGAGGAATTCTCAGCGTAGCACAAACACAAAGTGTAGATTTGAAATTTAACTCAAAAAAATTAAATGAAAACAAAATTAGACTTTCTGATATTCATCACTGTGCACAACACATTCATGCTGTTATTTTAGCACTTTTATTTGTATTTGTTCCTTTACTTGACTGTTATAAACACTCAATGGTTTACTTTGTGGATCGACCAAGCCCCCATAATACTGGAATGAAATTGAGTCCAATGCGGAAGTGAAATAAATTGCAGATCCACCCTCATCCACTGGGGGCTGGTGTCAGATGCGAGCAAATCCTCATTGACTCCCATGTTAAAAATACCAATTTCACAGCAGAAATAAACATGTTTACAGCCTGGTACCAAAACATGTTTTTGGTTTAAATGATCTAGTTTACACTCATGACAACTCTGAGGGGGGTGAATGTTTTTCTCACTCTTCTGTTTAAGTGTATTAAAAGCCTAAAATTCTGTATAATTAATGAGCATCAGACCCACGTGACCACAGAGCTAGCTCCGGGGAAAGGCCTCAGCCTCGCCTGAAAACTGTTCTGCCATTTTCAGTCTCTCAACTTAGACCATTAGTTGTAGTGTTTGTGTATTCTTTTTGGATATTTTTTGTGCAATTGTTGGACAAAATGACTTGCTGTGGCATTAATTGCACTAATAGAGCATCCAAGGAGTCTCCACTTCATTTTTTTCTGTAAGTAAAATTATGTTTATGTATTTAAGGTCACTGCCGAGCTGAGCTTAGATTTTAACATGTACTGTTTAACCATGAAATGTAAATGTAATAGGGTAAAACCCAGTGCATTTATCATAATGCTGCACTTTAGAAAATGGGTTGAAATATAACTTGTTGGTGGAGCTGGGTTCCGAATATCGGTATGGTCCCCTCCCCGCAGCAGTCAGCTCGGCGTCTCTCTGACTCAGAAGCTCCGGTGTTGTGCACAGGTAACTTCAGTTGTAGCTAGGTAGCTACCTCTGTTAGCTTAGCTCCCACCTCCACGTTACCTTTGGGTTAGTTTGTAGCTACATCGCTCAAGTTCGACGGGTGTCGTCATTTGATCCCAGCCTTACAGACCCACCTTCAGCTCCACCTCTTTTCCCTTTTTTGGAATTGTCTGGGCTTGACGGAACCTGTGACACGGTCAAAATGGCGGTGGTGGCCACCTCCCATTTTGGCACAAAAACTTATAATTGGAGCCTACGGACATGAATTGTCCAGTATATATGTTGATGGGATCAACCTGTTCAGGCCCAGGGTCCCTCGTTAAAATATGGAATGTCAATCCATCTGTCCATGTTCAGCCGCTTATCCGGGGTTGGGCCGCGGGGGCAGCAGCCTAAGCAGGAAGGCCTAGATGTCCCCCTCCCCACCTACTTGGGCCAGCTCCAACAGGGGGGTCTCCCAAGGCGTTCCTTGGCCAGCTGAGACATAGTCTCTCCAGCGTGTCCTGAGTCTTCCTTTAGGTATCGTCCTGGGTGAACGCGCCCGGAAAACCTCACAAGGCATCATATTCAGATGCCTGAGCCACCTCAACGGCTCCTCTCGATGTGGAGGAGCAACAGATCTACTACAAGCCCCTCCTAGATGATGGATTTTCTCATCCTATCTCTAAGGGAGAGCCCAGACACCCTGCGGAGAAAACTAATTTTGGACATTGTTTCCACGATCTAGTTCTTTCAGACACTACCCAAGCTCGTGACCATAGACGAGGGTGGGAACATCAAACTGGTAAATCAAGAGCTTCGCCTTCCGACTCAGCTCTCTTTTCACCACGTTGTGAGGACAAACCTGCTGACATGTCAGCTACCGAGTCTGGTAGAGACAACCCATTTAGTATAAGGACCCGAAACACAGTTCATCTCATTGTGGACGTCAAACTAGCAACCAGGGTGATTTCAACCACTCACAAACTAGATCCATCTTGCCAAGAGAAAAACTTAATGACATACTAACCAAGGTGTTTTAATTGTTTTGCACATTTCTTTTTTTTTTAATTCAGGTTTTTAATTCTATTTAGGTTTAATTGAGCTGTCTTTTACCATTTGTATGATCATTTTAGTAAACAAAAGGTAAAATTCAATCACTGCCTCCGTCTTGGAAGTCCTGCTGTGTTAAAATCAAAGTTAGTTCAATAGTTCAAAAGCTCTGGAGCTTCTCTCCTCTGTGAAGAAAGAACCAGAGAGGTTCGGACCGAGCTGCTGCAGCAGACTGAAAACCACCATGGACATTTATTTAAAGATAACACCTCATGGGAGAGGTACTGTAATGTCCCACCATGCAATGATAATACATTCATGCATCCACCAGTACCTGTGTCCATGCTGTCCGGGTCCAGGTGGTGAAGAACACACGATGAATCAGTCCCAGCGGATGGATGATCCTGAAGTGGTAGCAGGTTTTCTTTAGCCGTGTTTAGCTAACAGCTGCAATAGAAACAAAGCAGGAGAGCCGATTAAGATGCTGCTTCAGAACAACGCAGGAGATTAAAGATCCAACGCTTTGGTTCTGATCAGCTGGGGACAGATCCAGTCTGGAAAAGAGGACCTTTGCTCACCAGAGTTCACGGAGTAGAGCTAACCGCTTTTTCCTCCAGAGTTACATTCAGATTCGGGGCTTTTCCGGAGAGTGTGAGCAGGATGGATCAGAGAGCGAGCAGCGATCCTGCATCATGACCAACTCAGATGAGCGAGTCTGATAGAGGGAACCTCTTCAATCTGATGAAAGCAGCAAAACGAGCGCGTTTCTCAGAGCGGCCAACGGAACAGCAGCAGATCCAGAGGACAGGAAGTCTATAGAGAAAAGCTTTTCACACCCACAACCTGATTCTGGAGCTCCGATTGTCACGAAGACCGCAGAATAACTTCTCTGGTTCCGGAAAGAACTCCACCAAGTTGTTGAGGAGGAGAAGAAAGTTCCACAGCCTGGTGAGAAGAGTTCTGCAGCACTAGCAGTTAATCGCTTTAGCTGATCAACTCTCCCAGAGACTGAAGTGAAGACATTTTTTTACTGCAGAGCCTCAAATATTCTCTCCACACACCAGAACAACAACAAGCTAGCTCTGCTAGCAGCTTCCTGTTTCTGCTTCTTCCGGTGGTCGGTGACTAGCGTGAAGGTGCACTGGCGCCACCTGCTGAAGCAGAATAAAACACACCTGTGTGATCAGAATGGGACTAATAAACACATAACATGTGATATCTTCCTCAAACAATTACTTAAAGTAAAGGCAAGTTAGTTTTACACCTGTTATAATAATTTTGTTATTTACCTTATTCTTATTTTAATCTTGTTTGTTTTAATCTCATCTGTTTTTCTTTGATTTAAAGCTAATTATGTGTCTGTTGCTGCTGCCTCTTGGCCACATCGTTGTTGTAAACGAGAATGAGTTCTCTATCGACTCATCTGGTTAAATAAATAACATTTTAAGTTGTTTCTTCAAATGCACTGACAAACAAGTAAAATAAATTTCCTTTTTGACGTTTCATTATCCAAATACATTTTATTTACTTATTTTTATATTCTTTATTTAACCAGGAAGGTTCCATTGAGATTAAAGTTCTCATTTTTGAGGGAGCCCTGGCCAAGAGGCAGTAAAAGATACAATCACAACATTTCTGTTACAGTTATGTACAAAATTATAGAAGGCAGTTACAACCAGGGGCGTGGGGCAAGAAGTAAGCCACAAGTTGCCTTATGTTGCAATCATCACACTTTATTTTCCACATGCATTAGGAGAGATTCTGCCACCCCAGCCCCTGTGACAAATCTGAAGATTTTACAAGATGTACTCCTTTTGATTCTTCGTCTCATGCTGCAAAGTTTCATGCTGACCCCTCCCTAACTTTATTGAAGGCCATCACCTGTTGCCTTGGTAACTGACATCCCTCTCTGCTTTCACTCCCTCCTCCAGATAAGATGGGAGACACAATGCCCCATCTGCTTCCTACCCTATCTTCCTTTGCTAAGGCTGCAATGACCTACGCCCTGGCTTTTTCCCTTTGAACAGCTTTTAGATGGTCTAGTCTGCACCTGGCCTTCGCCTGTTGAGAATCTCCTTCAGCACAAGCTGAAACTTCTAACAGTATCAGCCTGCATAAATCAGATATAGGTCTAACTCAGTGCTAGGCTGCACCAGTCACAGGTGAGTCATCCATTTGGTATATGCATCATTCAGTTCAAAGGGACGTGAGTAACACCCAAACATTGAAATGATAAATATGGGGATTAACATACAGGTGATTAATTCTAAGCATATAAATACATGTGTGATCAAACCTTATTTTCACAAAGCATACTGATGATTAACCATAAAAATGAATATATGATTGTCACATAGGTGATTAAACATTATTTTTCCTTACACAGGCCATCATACAATGAAATGAAACAGAAGTAAATTTAAATTAACAGTATTTCTGATACACACACACACACACACACACACACACACACATATATATATATATATATATATATATATATATATATATAAGCTAGAGCATCATCATCGTTCTGATCGCAGGGTTAAGAATACGTCATGATAAGCTTCTTTCCGTTACTTTTATTTTTAAATAATAATAATTAACATTCAACACCATTACATTTCTGTTTTAATTTAACTGTCATGGATATTTAAAGTGCCCTGGTAAACAATGCAATGTAATACTTCCACTTGAGGCCAGAACGCTCTCTCACCATCCTTCTGCTCCAGGAAAACCTGAACTGGTCATCTGCTTGTGCGTAATCATATGTCTCCAGAAAAACTGAAATATCCACAGCCGTGAGGTTCACTTTGCCTCAGACAGACATTTTGCTGTTTTATGTTCTGGCTGAATCCGCAATCCGCTGCCACAGGGACTGGAATAACAAATGCTTCTGCATTAACATGAGTTGTGGTGAGCTGATGAAGAGGCTGCTGCAGAGCAGACTTTCATACGTTAACCCAAAATAGAAGCTAATGTTTCAATTTGATGTTGAAGGATGTCAGTCATCCAGGTCATGGTACTCCAAAGGGGTTCAAATGAAGGCAACTAGACTTCTTTGGTTCCTTGAAGAAGTTTGGCTTTTAATCTGAGGAGCTTTGTCAGCTCTAACTGGAATATGGGAGAGTCAAGTTTATAAGCTGTAGCTGTCTGTTGTTGTTTAACGAGCAGAAACTGTGGTGAAAGAAGTAGGTTAACTTTTAGAGAGGTTATTAATCTCCCTCTACGATTAAAGGTATCCACTCGTCTGTGGCCGAGGCGAGGGTAACCAGGGATACGGATGCAAAGCCCTGTAGACGGGTCACACCAGCTCCAGGCAATGCTGCTTTCACTCGTAACTCGTCCGGGGTCGGGGTCTCTAGAAGGGGGGAAGTTTTGTTATCCTAGACCAAAACTCCCGTTATGAGAACAGAGTTTGGTTTATGAGTAGACCTAGAGACTTATCTAGGTTAAAAGTAAAGAACCAGAGACCATGTTCTCTTTTTGGGTTCAAATATCTTTGTATCTTTTAATGAATGAAAAGTTACAAATATAGTAAATTCACTCCAAGCAGATAAGAGATGAGTAAAAGTTTGATAAGGTTGATGGAATAAGTTTATTTATCCCCCTTACTCATCTGTAGATTTTAGAGTGTTTCTTTTACTTTAAGACACGTTGTTTGTGACTGTTTACAGAGTAGTGAGGACACAGAGCATCTTCCCAGCTGCAGCCAGGCGCCTCTCGTTTGGCTGACTACTTTCATAAACTACTGTTAGGGTAAAATTATTCTGTCTGGAGCTTTCAGCACATCACAAATGTTCCATAAATGTTAAAAATGTAGCTTACCTCCACTTGTGTAAAGTTTCCAGTGCCACGAGGCAGCAGCAGAGATCAGAGACGATCTCTGAAAAACGTCCGTGACACAGACTCCATAGTTTTCAGGAAGTGTTTTATAACAAGTTGGGAGAAGAGGCTGACGTGTTTTCCAAATACTGCATCGGTCCAAGCAAGGCAGTTTCTTTCTGTTTTTATTGTGTTTTAGTAGCCATCAACAGAGCACTGCATTGTTGTGTGCGTCAGTGATATTCGGCCTATGAGGAAATCGTGCAATGATAAAGGTTCTGCCTTGCTTGAAATGAAAGCTGTGATGAAATTAAATGCGCCATTTTTTTCTAATTAATGAATCATAATTGACGCGTTAAAGTCCCACCCCTAGTAATAATTTACAGAGTAAACCACACCTTTAAAATGCTTTGCCCTGCACAACAGCACCTATAAAACACATGTTTCCGTAGGAAGGCTAATAAGTTTGTCCTAAACTGTTTTCAGGGTCACAGAGCTTGTTCACTTGATGTGAAAACGTGACTCAAGTTTCATGTTTATAATCACGTCTCTGTTTAAGAAAAAAATGCCACAATTGGCTCCATTGTTTCTCATCCTGAAACTTTGCAGATTTGGTTTGCGTTTAGCACCTCCCAGTGGCCGGAGGGTCTTCTACCCAATACAGAGGGATCTAGGTCCACACTGGTACCTATGGAATCCACAACTGTGGTCACTGACCTACTAACACAGGTTCTCCTGTAATAGGAGTTCTCACCGATCCCAAAACAACAAAACTCACTGGAGTTCTAGATACGAAAGGGAAAGAAGGGATTTTAAAACTAACCAGATTTCTCTTGCAGCTTTCCAGCTGTTCAATCAAAAGACGTCAATCTTCCAGGATTTGGTATTAGCATTTTACTTTCAATCACTTACTATTTTACATTTTTTACTATATAAAGTTTTCTGGTTTACATTTTTGCTTTGGATATCACACATACTCAAGGTTTTAATGTTAATCAAAAGCTTTTACATTTTACATTATTATCAACCAAAACAATCTGAACCCTTTGATGCATGAATTATGAAATATTCTACCATGATTTTTGTAACAATTTTTTTCATTCATCTTTAGGTGTGAATGAAACAAATTTCAGCAAATATTTTTTGTAACATTTAATAATTTACAAATAATTTACTACATGTCCACCTCAGTGGACAGCGTGCATTCTGAACATGAAATGTGTTGGCTGGACTTACTGAAGTCCAAATGGAGGGGCTCACATGCAATAAAGTCTTCAACAGCTGTGCTTAATAGCAAAAAATAAAAATAAAAAATAAAAATAAACTATTGTGAGTACCTGTCCACTGTAGTGACCATTATGCATCAAAGGGTTAAAACAACCAAATCAAACAAAAATAAAACATATGGAAATGATATTCTTTTTGATCATTTTCTTTTTCATAATCTTCAGCTTGATTATCCACAACAGGGATACAGTTACAGATGAGTAAGGGGGATAAATAAACTTGTTCCATCAACCTTATGTAAGGGAAAATTGAGAGGTTCTTACAATTTATTTAATGAACCATAAGGCGTGGGATTCCATGGGAAATATGAAATCCGCCTCACGGATCGGGGGTTATTTAAACCAGAAGATCGGATCTTTTTAATGCAGAGATTATGTACCCGTTACGTATTCACTCAGAGACAACAGAATAAAGAGAGTCAAGTTTAGAAGTTAAGGATTTTATTACTAACAATTAAACTAGGCTTATTTAAGAACTAAGTGTATAGTGTGACTAAAAATGGATAGAGAGACATAATAAGATACCTTTCGTCAAACATTTTGACAGGTCTATTGTTCTTTGACCTTTTTGACCTTTCAGTCCTATTGTTCATTTTGACCCTTGACCTTGCCCCCCTTTCCTATCATTAATCAAATGGACAGGTGTATTGTTCAATCCATGCCCCCCCTTCCGTATCATTAATCAAATGGACATGTGTATTGTTGATCGTCCAGATGGCCTAGACCCCCCCACGCCGCATCATCAATGGCGTATTGTTGAGCGTCCAGATGTCCATGATCCCCCACGTCATAGGCTAATGCGTGTAATGGCGCGTGAAGTTTCTTATTGTGTTACCCCAGTGGTTCTCACAGCCCCCTCCCTTCTGAGTGTAATCCTATAGTGGATAACTCTTTAAAAGCTCAGATCGTGTCCGAATGCTGAAAAGCCGAGCTCTAAGAAAAAATGATGAACCACGAGGAGATGCATGAAGCACCAAGCCACGAGGAAGAGGAATGTCTTACCTCT